ACTAGATTTCCATTTTGAACCTTCTTTTATTTCTATTTGTAATGTCACAGTAAATACTGACTATAAGGTATGAGACTTGTAATAAAGACCACAATATATAATGTAAATGCTCTTTTTATAATGGTCATAGACATAATTTATTAAGCTTATAGTTCCCAGAGCAATTAGTACTACTTTTTGAACCAAAATTTAATCTATGCAATCACCAGTAACGTTCCTATATGTTACAGCTTACATAGTCTCACAAAAAAACGTTTTATTAAAAGTGAGCAGAGCTTCTATATTATCACAAAGCAAATTATTTCTTACAAATATTTAAATAAATAAATAGGAAATTTGAATAGCAATCAAGCTGACTCCCCACCTGATGGTAATTTATTTATTTAACTTTAATGCACTCAGTCAAAAGGACGTAATATAGCGGACTCAACACCACACTTTTTCACCCAATCAACCATAACAAGTGCAGGGAATAATTCTGCAGAGATTTCTTGTCCTAACCTTTGAAATATCAAAATGGTCACCCTATACGAGAGTTAAATACCCTATTTTGTACAGTTGATCTTTCTCTGTGGAAATGGAAAGTGTCCATTTTAAATATTAAAATAGCAGGCGTAGAGTGTAAGCATAGCTTTCCGGATTTATTTATGTCGAAGTTTCCTGTTTCGTTGGGGTTCGCTGAACAAACAGCGGAGGTGTATTTAATTTTCAGCCGATTTCAAATAGGGGAGGTTCTAGTTACAACCAAAAAACACTCACTCAAAGCCAGACAATGTCACGATTAGTACATTCAAAAGCCCTAAAAGTGCTCGAAACAATTCTTCAGCGGATTTCAAAAAGTTAGAGGTTCTATTTACCTCCAAACAGGAAGCACTGTGTCACTGATAGAAAATGTTAAGACTAGTACATTCAAAAGCTTTAATAATGGGTCACTCCAATCAACATTTCAGCCGATGTCAAAAGGGGAGGTTCCAGTTACAACCAAAAAACACTGAATCGAAGGCAGACAAGGTCAGGATTAGTCAGGTCAGGATTCAAAAGCCCTAATAAAATACTCGATCCAACTTTTCACCCTAATAACGGGTTACTCGAATAAATTTTTTTGCCGATTTAAAAAAGCAAATTTAAAATGTCTTTATTCATGTAAGTCTATTACAAACTTATGATATGTCAAATCTACCGTCAGTTTGGAATTATTTCGAGATGAGAAGAACTGACAAGAAACTCAGCTCTTATTCTATTTGTTTTTTGTATTTTGCTATTGAGTAATCACGTTATATGCATCATGACTAGGGCACTCACTGGACATTGCAAGTTGAATAAACATATGGCAAACTTAGGCATGTGCTTAATAAAAATCTATAGATTTTGGCAAGCTGAAGAGGAAATGTAGTAGACATGTGGTTATGTTATATATATATATATAACATAACCACATGTCTACTACTACTATCTTTCATAGTATATATTACTATGTGGTTGTAGCCCACTCGTGCATTAACGAAGTATTTCCTATGGAAAGTATATACTTTATCCTGAGGATATAAAAACCATCGTTCCTAAGAATATCCTTCAATCCTTGTTCCTTAATGGTCTAGATAACGAACTTTGAAAAAGAGCGAACACAATAGGTGTATGCAGGTCACAGTGCTACAGGTCTTAGCACCTGACAATAGCCCAAAACCAATAAAAAAAATATAATACATATACAGATTTGTATACAATAATTATATGTACCTACAGAATAGCTATGCCCGCGGTTTCACCCACGATAATTTTATAGCCTATGGGCTATTCTGATGTATAAGCTGTATTATTATCAAGTTCCATTAAAATACATCCTGTACTTTTTGCGTGGAATTGTGTAAGGATACCTATTTATATGTTAGTTGTCTAATACCCATAACACACACCCTGTGTAACACACACCACATATATATTTATGTTAGTAGTCTAATACCCATAAGACACACCCTGTGTGTTATGGGTATTAGACAACTAACATAAATATTAAAAATTCAAAATATCTTTATTCGTGTCTATTACAGACTGTTATGATATGTCAAATCCACAGTCCGTTCGGAATGATTTCGAGATGAGAAGAACTGACAAGAAACTCAGCTCGTATTTTTTTTTATTATACATAGATACACTTTTTATGTTAATACATATATAATATAGCTCAAACCATTATCATGATCATACTCATAGATAAAAATGTTTGTACTATGCGAAGAATTGAACCCGCGACCATCGGAAGTAAGGCGGTGTGCTCAACCGCTATTTTACCGAGGCCGTCAAGATTGCCTATACTGACAAAAGATTATATTATTATTGTGTATAATATTATTGATGATAAGAAATACAACACCGAGAAATAACGAGGTATTTGGTTTTCAAATTACGTGTTTTAAGCGAGTTCAATTAATTTCTCGGCGCTACAGAAAATGGGTCTGTGAAAAAAACAGGTACAAGAAATATGAACGAAATAGGTCGGCTTCTTGTTAGGCCGGGATTTCCATTCATTCATTCATGAGAGGCTTTCATTCCTCTAATCTAAGGTATTGTAACTGAATGACGTTGCTACTGTATTTAAAAAAAGAACGAAAACCAATTAGGAAATACGACATGAAACGAATTAATTAAATTGTAAACGAATGCAGAGAGATAAAGAAAAAGAAAAGATAAAAAAAAACATTTTGTCTATGGCTCTTTCTTTGTAACTTTGGCCCATACATATATAACCTACGTCATACGAATTTCATATGACGTATTATGCTATTCACTATCGAATGTAAACTCATTAACATAATAAAATATATTTAAATAATTTAAAACATATATATTCTATAAATCTGACAATTTTAAAAATGACCTTAATAAATTTACGACTCCTTGTCACGAATACAATACTCTCAATGTGTTTCTCTGTGAATAATTCGTGTTTAATATTATTCATTTCATATCTTTTTTATTTCTTGGGGTTTAGAAACCATCTTTGACGACCTCGGTGGTCTAGCGGTCTAGCATACCGCTTTACGACCGATGGTCGCGGGTTCGATTCCTCGCACGGCACAAACATTTGTATTCATGAGTATGATTGTTTGTATCGGTCTGGGTATTTTCTATGTATAATATGTATGTATTTACGAAAAAAAAAATATCTATGTATTTGTATCAGTTGTCTAGGACCCATAACACAAGCTTTAGCTAGCTTAACTTGGGTCTAGATGGCGCTGTGTGAATTGTCCTGAGATTATTATTATTATCTTAAATCGCCATCAATTTAATAAGAACGGTTCTATATAAATACATATATATATTGTTTATGCCGAATTCAAAAGAAGAAAAGGTTCTAAATTTAAAAACTGGATGAGTTGTTAATTTTGATTTAGAACTACTGTTTGTTTATTTTAATATATTAAATTGAATCGAGAAGCCAAAGAGTTTGAATAAGTAAAAATAATTTAAGTTTAATATACATATTACATTATATATTCATTAAAAGTTCATGTTAACTTTAATGAAAGTAATATTAGAAAATAGTATTATACAATTTCAAAAGGCTATTCAAGATTACAAGTACTCACTAATTAGTCTCCGTACATACAGTTCCTTAGTGCTATTAAATAAATATAAAGAGAAAAGAAAAATCCTATGCTCGTACAAAGATACTGAAGAAAAGATCGCGTTGTTTTGTTTATAAAATTATTATATTGTAATATGCCAAGTTAATTTAAAATAAGCTAGTACGTTTATACTGCATTTTAACGGCTCACTCTCCTTCGACTAAATATGCAGCGGGGAAGCTGGTGGAAAAATAAAAATCAAGTACAGTGGCCAGACAAAGTTATGCTATTAATTAAAAGTATTAAAACTGCAGAGGCGGTCCAACTTCGCGGCGGTCTGTTCGTACGCGAAATGATTGAATGCAACCGAGTTTGAATTTTAAAGTTTGTGGTCATTGTAAACTGTTTGTTGTTTCAATTTATACTCTATTTAGTTGTGTTACAGTTGAATGTCAGGGTAGTCTCCAGTAGGTAAGTTCCAGAGGCGTCCGGTTCCGTAGAGTTTCATTTCAAAGCCCGGAACAGTGTCGTGGAAGTTAAAATTGAAAGCAAAAATGTTTGTATTTCATTTCGCTGTAAGCTTATGAATGTACAGGCCTTAAGTGGCCGGAATGTATGCGTTCTGTGAAACAGAGTTATCCGGATAATGCCTGAGTTTCAAGGAGACTTGGCATATTTGTGTTTAGATTACACCTGTGCGGAATTGTAACGAATTTTAACCGACTTCCTAGGGAAGAGATTCTGAATACGTTCTCAAAATTATTGATTTAACGACGCCTGAATGATGCCCAATACTGGACATGGACTCATATAGAGAATATTTCTACCATTTCTCTTCAATAAGTGTAGTGGTTAATGTAATAAATAATATTGTCATGTTATGCATATTCAGTAGGTTTGAGAATCGGCTTCATACTCCAGTGATGTGTGTAGTGATGAGGATTGTCCACTCTTAACATTTTTTTTTTATTTTTAGACAATTTGTATTTTTTTATAAAGTGACATTAAAAATACATACAATTCTAAATTATTACCATTCTATCATTAACTCTATTTTGTTAATAGATATTTAAATTTATGTGGCAAAACAATGAGTTAGGTAGTTAGTGATAAATTTGTCAGTATATACTAACTGGCTTTATGCAGGGGGGAAGGGGACTGTAGTAATGTGGATTAGCAATGTATCATGTCAGGTTGACCTCCACGCGGTTGCCCCTGGAAACCATCGTGGTAAATTCTTGGTGAATATGTCACGATGGGCTAACTGATCTGACCTCATGCTCATCTTATCATCTTCCACTGGTGCCCCGACAGCGTAAACCGTTAGCACAGGAGGGTGCAAAGAAAAACTGGCCTTATACATGCGGATGCATCGTTGTATACACATCCATTAAAAAACTATATTAATAGGTTCAGATAAGTAGTACTTACAGTCAGCTAAGTTGATTTTCGCCCTATACCCCGCGTAGTGCCTCGAGTGGTCAGCTCTGAACCGCAGCCTCAACACGTTACCCCTCGACTGGTATCTGAGCAGCTTGAGTTTTCCTCCCCAGTCTCCGCAGAGTCGCCGGGCATGACTCGAGTGAGACTCACGCGCCCATCCAGCGCTGATGGCATCAGACTCGGGTAGTAACGTCTCAGTTTCTTCCCAAACCTGTGTAAAATAAAAAAAAAAATGCTACGTTCGGCGTAATTTTCTTTTAATTTTGTAATTGGAATACACATACAATGGCCATGGATGGTAAGGTATACATGATATCACGTTATCATGTGACACTCGTGATAGCATTCGTGCGTTGCCATACCAGAGGTGTCATGCCTCTTGTCCTGTGAAGTATCGTGCCTCTTATACTGTAAAATAATTGACTGACTCACTTCATTCTCTGATGCATAGCTCTCATGATGGTCTTCTACGAGCCACTCGTCAGGAGGTGGCTCCGTGGTGTTATCAGCCCGAGCTTCGATGATCTCGAGGAAGTCGTAGCTGCAACTGTAACAAATACAAATATTTAATACAGCCAGTTGTAGACAAGTTACGAGGTAACAAGTTGACCTGCTAAGGGATTATGCGGAGGTGCGAAGACCATGTCTTAAAGAAAGTATTTATCATGAACGTTAGAAGTATGAACGGGAAAGGAGGTCCGAAAAGATGGATGAATTGTATGAAGCATATGTATGTATGACGTGAGTCTGAAAGCGTCATAATAGTCCCATATACAGGTTTAACACTCGATTCTTTAGCTAGTGACGCCTGAGAGAGTTGGAATTAAAAAAGAAACTTAAAATCTACACAATAAAGTTGCTATCTATTTGACAACCAGATTAAAGTAGTTACTAAAGTATACCTTCATCACTTTCAACTTATTGTGTTTGTAATAAGTTAGAAAGGATGGCATATATGAATGAGAATTCAAAATTTTTTAATGTTAATTTTATTATGAAAGGGCATAAATAAACTACTAATTGCAGAGCAAATATAGTCTGTGCATTTGACTGCTCCCTTCATAGTCATTACAGAATTATCGGTAAGTATTCAGCTGCTACCTTCCACATGTATAGAGATATGAACTGGAACGTTTGCATATTGAGTACATGTAACCACTACACTCGGACTAAATTGAAAATCCCGTGGGATTTGGCTGTAGTCGCCTTATTGCCGCCAAAATGTTTAGAGTGGAAGTGCCGTGAAAGCGTTGCTTTCATCCTGAGAAGATACGTTCCCTATCGTACACACGAGGAGAAAAGAGACGACAATTGTTACTATCTTTTCATGATTACTACTATCAGCAGTATCAGTGTGCAAAGAAAAGTGAATCCAAAATATATGTCAGCAAAGGTTATAATGTTTATTTAGAAAATGAATAGAGGTGAACAAATGCTTTCAGAAGATGTAGTGACAATAACGAAAATTTTAAATTTTGAATTGTCATTCGTATATGCTATTCTTTCTAACTTATTAGACACATAATAAGTTGAAATGTGATAAATAAATAGGGTTTAGTTGCTACTTTAATCCGGCTCTCTTGCTTGCTGACTTTAAACACAGTGCTCAGAATAATAATTAATAGTTTTAAAGTAGATAGTAATTTAAAGTCTAAATTAAGAATAATGTTATAATAAAATACGGTTACTTTTTTTTCAGAATATACTTATATTCGACCAGTACAAATAGAAATGACTAAATTATTTAAATATAATGAAGAAGTAATAGGTAACTAGGTATATCAACTAATAACTTACATTTACAAAACAACCCTATAAAACCCTATAAATAGTTTCTTTTAAACTTCTTGCTTGCAATCTTAGAATAATAAAAATAACGTATTTTTCATCTTTTTTTAATAGTATAAACTTTGTTAAAAGATATTTTAAATAGTAAAATATATTCATTTCAGATATATTTTTAAATGAAAATATAATAGTTTCTAGTAATTCGTAGATACAAAACCTTTTTATTCTAATTATTAAATAGGATCTTATGTTCGATATGAACATATAAACATTCTTTTCGTAAACCAAAATGCTATCAACTTGACTCGACAGCCTAAGTGGGTTGGTGTTTGTACAGGATCGGTAATACATGGAAGCTTGCGACGATCTTATTTCGATTGCAATGGATATAAAAGTTTCTGGAATAAATTTGGACATCTCTAAATATATAGACACAAGCCCTGAGCTTAGTGCAGGGATTGCTGTTAATTGTCTTGTCTACAACCATCGATGTAATGTGTACAAAATAAATAAAAAAAAAATAAAAAAAAAAAAATATTTATGTCCCCGTCCACGTTTGCCTGTTATCTGCTTATTTCTTCTAAATAATTTCATTTGTCTACGCACTCAACGCACCGCTCCGCGGGCTGCGGGGGCGGTGCTGCGCATCGGCAACTGCGGCCGGTGGCGAACACCGGCACTTCTTGTCCGACCGGCATCGACACTTACCGGCTTACAAACAATGCCTCCATTCTAAATTTTATCTGAATCTGTCCGTTGTTCATAACAGTTTTTATATACCTATTAACACAGTCCACTAGTTTCATTGGCTATCCAGGACGTAACACATTTTTGTTATAAAGTCTTAACAATTAATAACTTGTTTTTATATCTTACTAGCTCACCCGGCAAACTCTGTTTTGTCTCAGAATTGTAGGAGTTTTGAAGTTTAGTTACGCAATAAATTTCTGAACGCACCCTTTTTGACAGTTTGTATGGGAAAATAAAAATGTTGTATTTACTATTTCTTCATATTTTATCATTTAAACCTTCCCTGGACTTCCACGAATATTTCATGAATAAAATTAGCCAAATCGCTTCAGCTGTTCTCGAGTTTTGTGAGACTAACTAACAGCAATTCATTTATATATATATAGATATTCTAGAAAAGGGGGGCGAGTAATCCAAGCATTACAAACCCGCGAAACGACTTCTGTATAAATACAACAAATATTTTTCTCTCTGTTATATGATCAAAACTGGACAATATTTTCTATCCAACTAGGACTGACACAGTGTATAGATCAGAGGCAACAAATAGTCTAGAATACTACATTTTATCTATAAATGATAATAGAAGGGTTCACCTGGCGGTTCACCAGAGGAGGAAGATACGATGAGCTGATGACCTGACCCAAACCTAGCATTGATTAAAAGGGACCGTGGGATTTTAGGTAATAGGAATCCGACAATACCTGATCTTGAAACCCCTCAGGCGAGGTATTCGTGATGAATTTTCCACACGTTAAAAAGAAGGTATTCACCACGACAGTGTCCAGTGTAGAGGATTTAACATGCTACATTGCTAGTCATGACCTTTTAGGTCTAACTTAGTCGCAGGTTCGATTCCTCGTACGGTACATACATAGTCATAAGTACGAGTTGTGTTTTCTACGTATACTATGTATATTATTTACAAAAAAAATAATATAAGTCTTTCTAAAAGTTGTTTAGTATCCATAACACAAGCTTAGCTAAGTTCTGCTTAGCTTGGGACTAGATGGCGCTGTGCGAATTGTCCAGAGTTATTATTATAATTAATAGGGCCACTTCTTATTAATAATAATCTAATCCTCCGCTGATTCTTAGATGTAGAAATATTTTGAGACCGTTCCATCTGGTAGGTACATCTGGGGCTCCCAACAGCTGTATTTGTCAGGTCAATTTGGAATATTGATGCGATGTTCCGCATAAAAGCCTGCCTCCAGCGGTAGGCATGTCCAGGTGTTCAGTTTGCTTCAATATCGCCAGTTTTATCTGTCTACATATAGAGTATAAAAAATATTTTCAGGACAACAAAAAACGTATTTGTTTTGTCATGGATGTTTCTAGCTGTAACTCCTCTCAGCGATAGATGTACTAAATTAACCTGGTGTAAATAAAAGGAATATTTTTATCTAAATATATAACATAACTCATAGGTGACTGACGTAGTAATCTATCAACGCACAGCCTAAACCACTGGAGGGATCGGGCTGAAATTTGGTATGCATAAAGCTGCTATGACGTAGGCATCCCCTAAGAAAGGGGATAAATTAATTAAGTCTTAAACCAGCTTTTTCCCGCGAGCGATGCTGCGGGAAAAAGCTAGTTTAAGACATATAGACCATCTGTGACAATGTTCATAGTTGAAAGACATTGCAAATATTAAAAAATCAGACTAATTTATTGTAACAATTAATTTAATTTGACCAAACGGATTCTACCTACTAACTACCTACATTGTCGTAAGAAATCGAACCCGCGACCATTGGAAGCAGGCCGGAATGATAAACAGCTGAACCTCTGAGAAAGTGAGACTTTGTTATGGTGGATGAGAAACAACTGAACCATTTAATAACTGCGACTTTGTAGTTGGTTAATGAACCCAAGTACACTCAGAGCAACGGGAATATTTGTTATTAAAATAGCTCCTTTGAGAATCAAGTGCTTATTCACATTTCGCCTCACCTTTGTCCTACGGTCGAAACCAATTCCCCTCCGTTTGCTTCCTGTAATTAATTTATTTTGAATGACAAGTAGTTAATGAAAATGGCCTCTGTTTCTAGGAATTTTAATAAAATATTAATAACCACAAAATTCTATCGCATTTTATAGATGATTAATTAATTTTGGTATATAGTTTCATATTTCATAATCAAAAATAATTCTGAATTAAATCAGTTCTATTTATCTTTAATAATACTCATATGTACAATTTTCCAATGTGTTGTCATAAAACAAATTAATAATTAATTACTATTAATAATAGGTGATTTTTACTCAATTGATTTAATAATACCCATATGTACCATTTTCCAATGTGGTATCATAAAACAGATTAATAATTAATTATTATTAATAAATTAATAATAGGTAATTTTACTTAATTGATTTAATAATACTCATATGTGCCATTTTCCAATGTGATGTCTTAAGTCTATTGAAAACGTACCAGAATGCGTGGCCCAATTTCGCGCCATGCCAGCGATGCAAGGCAGTGCTAATGGAGGATCGCACAGGTTAGAAAGCATTATTAAATACCTATAACTAACAAACAACGTACAGACACGGGCTGAGGTCTGTATATACCTACTTCTATCTCATCTATTTAAATCATAATTATATAATAAATAAAAGAAAATGATAACATAAGCACTAGTATTCCGTTCTGGGTTTACACGAGTGCTCATAACTTTATAACCTTATAAATTTTAATTTTTGAAATTGATTATTTTTTGAGTTTATTGAGTTTATTATTACAAATAAGGGAATGTAATGCTTTCTATTTATTAGTATGATAGAGGCACCAACCTCTCCGGTAGATCACACGTCCAATACATACAAAGGAGGATCGAAATTACGAGGGTCTGAAGATGGCATCTGCGGACACCGTTATGGGTTTGAATCCCAAACCCATAACGGTGTCCGCAGACTAAGGTCGCATCCATGAGGTAGGAGTTGGGCTCCAGGCGCTACATAAGTCTTTCGGGTTTGAAATGCCATCTTCAATTGCTGTCG